GAAGGAAATGCTGACAAAACCCTTTACTAAGAATCTGAAGGCATCTGAATCTGCAGTCCCTTCAAGCTCAATTTGCTCTGCTGGAAATCTGAAAATATTTCTATGTGACGGATTTTGAAAAGTATTTTGAAGGATTTTAGTACTTAATCACATCATAAGAATAGAATGACCTGGAACATAACCAACCTAAAGAGTCGTGGTCAGAAAAAGCAGTCGAGAACTTAAAGTCACAGGAATAGGAAATGGAAATACTTAATCAAGTTAAGTCACTAATATTTACAAAGCTTCCACTGCTTGAGGGCATGTTTTCCTGTGTTTAGTGCAAAAGCCAGTTTTATTCCAAGAAAAATACAGAGAACTGTTGTGTTGAGATCTAGTAAAACAAGCAAGGAACAAGCATGCCTTTAACAAACAGTCCATTATTGCCCCCCAAATCCCCTGGCCTCCCTGTTCCCTGTATCACTCTGCTGTCTAACTACAGGACACAAAAAGAAACAAAAATGTTACCACTGACCCACAGGGCTACCCGCCCTGCCTCTCCCACATTCCTAAGAATTTTGGAACTGGGTTTACTACTTGTTCTTACAGCCTGATGGAGATTAGCAGATTCAGAGATGGCCTCTTGGAGCGCTTATGCCAGGTGGCAACTGCATCCCTCTCCACAGCCACCCCAGGACAGAAAGAATACAGCTGTCATCAGACTAACTGGCCCATCACAGCCCATGACGGATGGGACGCAGACACTGTGCTGTCACATCAATGCACTACAAGGGCAGACGTCTTGGGCCTTACTTCCAGAGATTGCTGTTAGAAGCCGTCGTCATTTTAGCTGCCTTATGTTGCATGTCTGCTTTGTGCCCATTACATGCACTCTTTCTAATTTTTTTTAATTTTTAAACTTTTTTTATTAAGGTATCATTGACATACACTCTCAGAAGGTTTTATATGAAAAACAATGTGGTTACTACAATCACCTGTATTATCAAGTTCCCTCCCATACCCCATTGCAGTCACTGCCCATCAGTGTAGTAAGATGCCACAGAGTCACTACTTGTCTTCTCTGTGCTACACTGTCTTCCCCATGAGCCCCCCCACACACCATATATACCAATCATAATACCCCTTAATCCCCTTCTCCCTCCCCACCCACCCTCCCTCACCCCTCCTCTTTGGTAACTGCTAGTCCCTTCTTGAAGTCTGTGAGTCTGCTGCTGTTTTGTTCTTTCAGTTTTGCTTTGTTGTTATACTCCAGAAATGAGGGAAATCATTTGGTACTTGTCTTTCTCTGCCTGACTTCACTGAGCATAATACCCTCTAGCTCCATCCATGTTGTTGCAAATGGTAGGATTTGTTTCTTTCTTATGGCTGAATAGTATTCCATTGTGTATATATACCACCTCTTTTTTATCCATCTACTTGATGGACACTAAATTGCTTCCGCATCTTGGCTATTGCAACTAGTGCTGCAATAAACATAGGGGTGCATATGTCTTTTTGAATCTGAGAACTTGTTTTCTTTGGGTAAGTTCTTAGGAAAATAATGCTGCAATATGGGAATTAGGTCCATGTAATACAATTGAGGAAATGAGGCTTGAAAGAGGTTAAGTGACTACCCAAGATGCAAGGCAGCCAGCCTGACTCCACAGAATGTGTTTTCCTATACTCTACCCTCTTCACACCTCCTGAATTTCTTCAAGTTTATCTAATTCCTGGAGAAAAATAAGCTATTTCCTAGCCTGAGGCTAAAGCTGTTGACACCCAGTCCCTTCTCCCCCAACCCCAAAATCATGAATAACAATGTATAAAACTCACATGCTTGTTATTCTGAGAACTGAAACCTACGTAAAATCCTCCTGAACTCATCTTACAATTTATTTTCCAAATCTCTTTCTAAAGGTGCTAAAAATAGAACATTGCAAGTTAAACACAATCCCCTAACCCACCTAGAATGTCTTCTCCTTTCTCTTACTTTTCCTTGCTTCCTCTGCTGTTAGTGCTGAAAAGCAAAAGCAGATTTTACCAGCCCAGAGAGGCCTCTGGCCCATTAGACTCTTACTGAACTATGAGCATCTTGAGGAAAGGGGCAGTTTTATTTTGCCACCTTAATGCCTTTCACACAATGCCTGGCTGGAAGGACTTGATAAATGCTGCATTGAATAGGTGACACTGATAGGAAGTTCAGTGGTAAATGAATTTATTGAGACTTCCTTTGTAATGGCTTCAAACAAAACTACAACCCTACTGTGTTTAGAGTTTGGGTTCAGAAAACCTGGCAGATTTTTAGACATACTGAAAATTCTAAACACAAGAAATGTTACTAACAGAAGGAAAGAACTTTTTTCCCTTTTCCAAAGGCTGCCTTTTCGACTTTGACATCTTCTTGGCAGCAAACAAAGACTTTTTAGTCATTTGATATTTTCTTCCAATTCAAATTCACATTGTGAAGGAGAAACTGCCACAGGTAATAAAATTAATATTGGTGTGCCCATGTTATGCCTGGCTTGTTTTAATAATCTCATGGTCTGAACTTTTCAAGTATGAGAGAAAGCAATGTCAGTTTCTGCTGACCTCCTGAAACCAGTGAGCTGTCACATAGCCTTCATTTGTAGCTTACTGGAAGCTGATTTGTCCCAGTGGAAAGTCAGTAATTTTATTTTTCCTGAGAAGAGTAAAGATAAATCTTATCTATAAAAGTTTTACCTTTCTTTGTTAAAAGAAAATTGGCAAATCCACTCCATGTAGTTACTAACTTTTCCAAGGACATTTCTGTTTCTGTTGACCTTTGAAAGACCGCCCTAACAAAGTATTCTGCCTTCCTTTCAGGAAACACTCATGCTCCCATATACATAGCAAGACATAAGCATAGCCTTTCTACATCATCACTTTATGGAATGGGTTGAAATAAGGATATTTGCGGGATAATTTTGGAGGAAACTTTTTTGAAATGTAAAATGTATCAGTCAAATACACAGATCCTAAGTGTCCTGCTTGATGAATGTTTATGAAATAAGTACATCCATGTTACCTGCCAGTAGGTCAGATTACCAGAAAACTCCTCCTGTACCATTCTAGTCATTCACCACCATAAAGGCAACCACTATGCTGACTTCTATCATCAAGGCTGGTATGCTTGTCCTGTTTTTGCATGTTCTGTAAATGGGATCATACTGTGTGTGTATGCTCTTTTATGGCTCAATATTATTTTCACTCAATATTATGTCTGGTAGATTGCTCTATATAGCTACATTTTACATTGGGCAATAGTTAATTCTTTTTCATTGCTGTATACTATTGTGTGACTATAGCACAATTTATTTACATATTCTCCTGTCAGTGGTCATTTGGACTGTTTCAAATTTTGACTCTTACCAGTGAAAGTGCTGGAACATTTTTATCCATGTTTCCTGGTAAACACAAGCTCACATTTCTGTCTCATATTAAGCCAAGAGTGGAATTGCTAGATCATGACACAATACACACACGCACACACACACACACACATTCAGTTTAATACTGTCAAACGTATTTCAAAGTCTTTGCCTCAATTTGTGCTCCCATCAACAATTTTATGAGAGTTCAAGTTCCCTTAATTTCCTCTATCTTTTTAATAATGTCTAAAATCTGTAGTGATGTTTCCTTTTTCATTTGTTTTTCCCTATATTTTGCTTAGTCTTACTACGAGTTCTCAATTTTCATTAGCCCTTCAAAGAACCAGCTTTTGGCTTTCTTGATTTTCTCTTCTATGTGTTGGCTTTATATTTATTTCTGTCATTACTTCCTTTCTTCTACTTTCTTTAAGGTTCATTTTTGCTAGTTTTTCAAGATTATTGAGATAAAATGTAAATGTTGCATGTGCACTTGCAAAGAGTATGTATACTACAAATGTTTAACTTTTTATATCCTTAAAGAGTTTTTTTTTTTTGTCTGTTGGCCTATGAATTATTGAGAGAGGTATGGTAAGATCTTTATGTCTGCCTGTGAATGTGTCTTTTTTCTTTTTTTATTGTGGTAAAATGTACATAACATGGTTTACCACAATGTTTTTCAGATTGGTAATTTTTACTTTATGTATTTGGACATCAAGTTTATTAGGTGCATACAAATTTAGAATTGTATATCATCCGTAGAGACAGATCTGTATGTTGTTATGAAATGTTTCTCTTCATATTCTCTTTATTTCTCTTAATACTTCTTAACCTCAAAGTCTACTTTGATAGTCACATCACCTTTATTTTTGGCTAATATTTGCATGGTATACTTACTTTTAATCTATCTGTGGCCTTGTATTTAAAAGGTGTTTCTTGTAAAAGTCTTTATAAGTAGATCGAGCTTTAGAATAGAATGCTGATGTCAAATTCAGGCACAGTCACACTGTCCCTGGCTTGCGGTACCCGTAAGATGGAAGTGGTAATGACCTTGCGTAAGTACATAGCAGTTTACATCATATAGCTGATGGGAGAGTTATCTCCCTATGGGTGCAATATTTTTATATAACAAACTACCACCCTCAAATTTATTTGTTTCTAAAATGTGTTATATTCATTAGAAGTAGTGTTTGAGTAAAGAAGAATAGGCTTGAATTGTGGACTAGCTGTCTCATTTGGCACCCACAGAGAGAAAGATGTGTAATCCAGTGCTATGCAAACTTACATATTGTCTTAGAAGAATTTCTAATTGAGCTATTTCATACTAGAATCATAAATTAATGAGGGAATTTTTAAGTGGTGATGAACCTCAGAGACCATCTTGGGCCCACTGTCATGCTTCTGAATATTTGAATATAGAAATATAAAGTGTATTCTCATTTTTGTCACTTATGCTATGCAGATAAATGAATAGCTGAGTACTTGGAACTTTGATTTTAAATGCAATTATGACCTTTAGAAATAACTGGTTTAAAAATGGACCAAACTGTGAATTCAGTGGGCAACTGATACTTTTTAGTTGCTAAAGAAAATGTATAAGGAAAAGATGTTGTTTTTACTTTGTAGCTTTCAATGTTAGAGGAAAGACTTCACCATTTTATATGTGATGTGGCTTTCTGGGCTCCTGACATCTTCATAGAATTTGACTGGAATTTCCTTCTCTTGAAAATGAATGGGCATTTTCTTGCCCACAACACTCATGAGTTTCACTTTCAGGGGGCCCAGGTTTACATAATCCTGTTGGTGAAGAGATAGAGATAATAGGAAAGGTTTTTCAACAAATTACTGGCCTCAATAGATTAGGTTTTCTTTATTACAGTAGGTCTTTATCTGATATATTTCATTTCCTTCCTAATTGCCTGAATGCTATATAACATGTGAAAATGCTACTGTAAATAAAAAACCACTCAGTAAACTTATATACCCCGTGGGTGTGGTAGGCAAGATTGCCCAAGGAGCAGTCAGCAAAGCTGGCAGTCATGTCTTTTGGGAGTTTGGGTCGGAGGCACCAGCCAAAGTTGGCAGATAATACTCTCTAAACTCTTTAACTGTAAAAAAATTAAAAAGTGTTGAATATCACTTTGACTATAGATATTCTAATACTGAGCAAAGTCTTCAAGAAGGTTGTGCTTTTCACAAAGCCAAACCAACAGAATTGGAAGTCTAATTTATATGAAATCCCACAGCCAATTCCAAATTAGGTGGAGACAGTTCACACCCTCCCCAGTGTGCCTTTCTCTTGGGAGACTCCCCAAGTCATAATTCTCTTTTGAATTCCTTCAAATATTCACCAAATCTTTCCTGAGTTCTCACTGTGCACCAGGTACTGTACCAAGTGCTGGAGTACAGTGGTAAGTTCACAGACTGATCAGGAAGACAGATACAGGTGGGATATTCCTTTTGTACAGTAATTTATGATTTTCTTATTTGTCTTCTACTAGCATGTAAATGATTTGAGGATAGGGCCTGCCATATAGGCATTTTTGAGACTTAATTTCTTCCTGTTCTCCCCTCATATTCCCAAGCATCTAATAAATACCTGACATGTTGTGGGGTTCCCACATTTATGAGAATTTAGGAGAACCAGATAATGAAAAAGGCAATGCTTTATTTCTCAAAAATACATATGATTGTATTTGGTTTAAAAAATATATCATCATAGAGCTACAATAATTGTAAGATAGGAGAAGAGCAAATTGATAGACATCTACCACATAATTCAGAATCATCTGGATTAAGATTCTGAAGTAATTCACTGTATTAATCTGCTCAGATTGTCATAACAAAATACCATAGACTGTGTGGCTTAAACAACAGAAATTTGTGTCTCACAGATTGGGAAGCTGGGAAGTCCCAGGTCAATGTGCTAACATGACTGAGTTCTGGTGAGAGCTCTCTTTCTGGTTTGCAGATGCCTGCCTTCTCACTGTGTCCTCATAAGGCAGAGCCTTTTCTTATAAGGCCACAGTCCTATCAGATTAGGCCATCTTTATGACCTCATTTAACCTTAATTGCCTCCTAAAGACACTTATCTCCCAATATAGTCACATTGGGCATTAGGTCTTCAGCATACAAATTTGGGTGGAACAGGAGAGCCACAATTCAGCCTGTAGCATACACAATACCATTTCCACCACATCAAAAACTCTCATGGAAAGTAAGAAGGTCTTTCAGTCAACCAGATGGTATGCAATTTTCCAATTATACAGACAGTTTTCCATTAGCCTGAGGTCATCATAACATACCAGGTGTCATGATTCCAGGATACTCATGGATGTGTTAGAATGCTACAGAAGCTAGAATGTTAGTCTTTAAATTGCCATTTGATGGTAGCAGGACTGATTTATAGTTAAAATGATTTTTGTAGATTTGTTCATTTTTTTTCTGCTTTCTTATATCACTTCTCCTATCAGATTTTAAGTCTTAAGAAAACTTTATTGGTAGTACCAAGAATGAAAATAACAAGGGGTGGATGTGGGAGTAATTGGAATGTACCAAAAAGGTTTTGAAAGTAGAAAACTTGATACTCCAGGTTTCACCTAATGGTACATGTGGTGGTTTGTACTTTCAAAGATGGCCACACTAATAGATACCCTATTCCATATGATTTTCTTAAAATGTGATGCTTCTTCCTCTTTCAAGATGCAGGAGCTTCATTTTCTCTCCCTTTGGGTGGAACTTTGTAAACTTTGTAACTACACAATCAGTAGCACATGACGAAAGTGATGGTGTGTGATTAACAAGGTTAAATCATACAAAACATTGCAGCGTTTCTTGTGCTTCATCTTGGTCTCTGGGATTGTTTGTTCTGGGAGAAGCCAGCCACCATAACAAAGGGACAACAGAGGTGCTATGGGGAGAGGCCCGTGTGAAGAAGAATTGAGGCCCCAGTTTAACCAGCACCAACTTGGGAGAACCAGTGTGAAGTGGATCCTCCTGCCCCAGTCAAACCTTCAGATGGCTGCAGCCCCAGCCAACATATGACTCAATTGCCTGAGAGCCCAATCTGTCGGTGGACAATCCACTGCCTCACTAGTGCCTGCGCTTTGCCAGGAGCAGGAAACACACCCATGAGAAATGAAACATAGTTTCTACCCTCAGGAGCCTAAGGCCCAGCAGGGTGGTGGACAGGCTTTCAGTATGTTAGGGTGATGGTTTGTGCCGTGATGGGTAATGAGCATAAAGTGAGACATGAGAAACGCCTGACTTGGTTTTAGGAGGTGAGGGAAGGTTTCTGGGAAGAGATGGGCCCTCTGCTGAGCACTGAAGCACCAGCAGCTGTTTGCCAGAGGAGAGCTTGGGATTGGGCGGCATTCCGTGACGGGAGTAACACCCTGAGAGTCTCACATGAGCGTGAGCAGGATACCAGTTAGGTCATGGCTGTAGTAACCAGGTGAGGAGTGATCGTGGCCTGACTGGGATGGTTTTAAAATGAAGAGGAAAAGAGGAAGACAGTGAGCAGCGGGAGTCCAAGATGACGCCTAGGGGCAGGCTTTCAGTGAGCGGCATATTCTGGCAATAGCCTGGTGAGCTGTATGTCTGCCGTTGCAGCTCTCTGCACATATATTTAATTCTGTGCTCTGCTTTTCACATGCCCACTGAGTTTTCAATCAGAAAATAAAATGCCTTTTTTTTTTATAAGAAATAAGAAAGCTCCATTTGGCTTTTCTATGCAGTTTGCCTGCAGACAGCATGAAGCAATTGGGCCCTTGCAGGTATTCGAACCACCCGTCATTCTTAGCAGTTCAGCAAAGTGAATCCCCTGGCTCACAGGCTGTCAGTTAGTTAAAGAACATGAATAAAGTGTTCGTCAAAATCCTTAAGGCTCCCACAAATAATGTCACTAATTCACTATTTATATCTGTAAAAACTTGTTAAGGCTTAATTTAGTAAAGGTCAGTTTCACATGTAGCTCTGGTCTGCAGGTACACATGTCAGAAGCCATAGAATTCTTTTCTGGTTTTACCATTTTGAATAATTAAGGTCTTACTAAATGTTATAACCTTTATAAATCTGGTTTCTCTCTTAATCATTAGTTTGTTGTCACTTCTGTACCATCATAGGACAACAACACTTGATATGTAATGATACAAAAAATATTTTAAAGAATGTCATTGTGTATGAAGTCAGTGTCACATTGGTAGGAGTTGGTCCACTTAGCCTCAGCTCTGTGGCACTGGAGGCCCTGCTGGCTGACCCTTGCCTCACCTCATGTATCAAATCCTGTGGCATTCTACGTGAGCTGTGATGGGGATAAGTTTGGGGAGCAATGGTTGGGAAATGTAGGAACTCTATTAGCTAGAACACCCCATCTTCATCCAAATAGGAAAACAGAAGTTTCTGCTTGTCCATGGGGGACAGCTCATATCTATTTCTTACCCTCCTACTAGTATTAGTTCTCAAGAAAGAGGTGGAAAGGGCAGTTACCATAAAATATATAATGTGTTATATTTCTTTGACTTGAAAATGCCCCTGAATACACTCAAAGTTATCCTGAATAAGCAGTGCTACAGATAATTGAGAATTTACACATTTCTCTCTTTATTTATGCAGATCTTTCTAAAATGTCCTTAACACATGCCTCAAGGAGTTTACAATCTAGTAAGGAAACAGACATTAAATAAGTAATCTCGAGTGTGATAAATGCTGATTACAAAGGTACAGTTCAGGGTGTCAGGGAAGCACCACCAGGGCCCTGAACCTAGTTCTTACAAATGCCATCAGGCTGTTTTTTTTCTCTTGGACAGATTTGTATTACATCTCTCCCAGCTCTGAAAAAAGACTAAGCACCCCTCTCTCACTAAAGAAAGCAACTCAAGAAACACTGATGAACAAGGTGGATTTTACTGATTTTTGTGGGAAAGACAGAAGATACGATTAAAATGCATACAACAGAGAGAACAACTTAATGAAAATCCCCATTAAAAGTTTCTCATCTCCTTCCTGTCCTTGCCAAGTTTTCTCTGGCCAGTGAATGAATTCCCCTTTGTTATTATTACCACTTCATGTCACATTAGCGCCGAGTCAGATACACCAGACTGAGCTGGCTGAAGCAGGAAGTGGAGGTGGCATTTCAGGGGTGGCTCTTTGCTCAAGTTTGGTCAGTTCAGAAAAGAGGACCACGGACAGCAGGTAGAGCAGTGGTGAGAAGCCACAGCACCAGCGCCAGCTGGCAGAGGTGAGAATGACTGCAGAGAAAGCATGAGCAGCAGCAGATGGCAAAGAGGAGAGGCGGGACAGGAGTGTGGAGCTGGAGGCCTGAACAGATAGGAGGGCTGCCAAAAGACAGCTTGGCCCCTGGGAGGCCAGTAAGGCCCCCACCCAATAGGAGCCCCCAAGGCCCCCAGCTCACAAGAGCGGCAACACAGGAATCCAGCAATCAGTTCACCCAGTCTGCCTGCCTGCATCATCTCCAGTGAGGCCACACAGACTGGTGGGAAGGCAGGTAGCCTCTCTCTCTGCCCTGTTCCACCCAGCTTTCGGCCTCTCAAGTAACCGCACACCCTCCCAGTTTCTCCAGTCTTGTATCCTGACACCGTCACTGAGCCCAACAAACAAAAATCCTGTGATGTACCTGTGTCCACCCTTCTTGGAACACAGGAAACTTCTAAACAAAAAATACTTTATTAGGTTTAAAATAGTATTCTTCCATGCCACACAAGCAACAGGAGCTACCTTGTGAAGATGTTTTCCTGCCCCTCCCAGTATATTGAACTTCGCTGCTTTAATTTCTAGGCCCAGACATTTCCCTCCCATCTTACCCTACACTTGTGTGATCTGTCTCCCCTCTCTTCCAAAAATGTCACTTTTTAGATTATTTCCTGTTTCTGACTATTTGTTCAAATTGTGAATGCCACTTTGAGTGTTTTTTATTGAAGTATAGTTTATATACAATCTTATATTGGTTTCAAGTATACAACACAGTGAATCAACAGTTACTCACATTACTAAATCCTCACCCCAACTAGTGCAGATACTATCTGTCAACATAGAAAGACGTTACAGAGTCATTGGCCACTTTGAGTTTTAATTCCATATTCCCAGCCCCTAGTTTTCCATTATGACTGGTATATTGAGACGTTGTATTGAGTAAGAAAGAGGGGTAACCTAAAGTACAAAGCCATGTTTGCATTTGTTTCTCTTGTAGGAATAAATGTGACTTCAGATGCCGGGCTATTTTCTCTGTCTAGAAAGTACTTTGACTCTTTCATTAACTATCAAAAGAAATAATTCTATAATCCACAAGGTAACCTGAAGCTCAGAACACTTCAAGGAGCTACCACAAAGTTCCCTCCCTGCTTTGTGCTAACTCCGTACCTTGTACAGCTGCTGCACGGTTTTCATGTAGACATGAAAATAAAATAAGCATTTATTTTCACATCTATTTTGCCTGCTGGCCCAGAGGCTTGTGACAGTCACGTTAAGTGTTTGCTACTATGACTATAGAGTATTACTAAAAAAAGCAAGTCAAAGTTTGTGCTGTACCAATGGTTCATTATAGTAATCTTATACCTTCACCATGGCTATTTTGTGAGTTCCTTTCTTTTTAACTATTACAGTCTGGCTGGAGCATTAAAGAATTAAATCATCTTTAAAAAATCACTTTTTATGGATACAGATGTTTACAAAATACTTTCTAGATAGGTTAATGGCCCTCACCTGGGTATTTTGAGATCCACAAGTCTACAGTTGAATAGTTGATCAATAAGCACCAAATTTTCTTCTTCCAGTTCATGAATAGTATTTTCCAATTCTTCAACTTCCTTCCTGTGATTTGCAATCTGTTCTCAGAAGAAGAGAATGGATGTTGTTAGTACTTACTGGCTTAGTTCTAATTAATTTTCTGTAAAAATTCCAACTCCTAAAAGTGCATTTGCCTGAGGGGAAGATTTATCCTGACTTAGTTGTTGCTGTGTGTACTTTGCCCTTCCGCTCAGGATTGAAAGGGCGGGATTCTTTTCCAAGCCGTTTGCGGACCAAAACGGAACCGGTTTGCAGGATTAGGCGCATCACATTGAGTGGCAGGGAGTGTTCCTTCCGCCTTTCAAAGACATCTCTGGACTTACCTGTGAGCTGGAGGCAGAGATAAACACGAAAATAGGACTAAGATATCAATATGGTATATTTGTCATTTAATGAAGATTTATCTAGGGTTAATTATAAACAATACAGAAAACTAATAATGCTGGAGAAAATACTGTATTATGTCATTTTAAAGAAGAGAAGTGCAGGCCTAGTAACCCTTTCTATCAGCCTCTGTATAATCATTATCTTTTCTCTGAGTGCTGGGGTAGTTCTGAGAATTATCAGGAAGGTAAAATATTGCTTATTCATTCATTCATTCAGTTGTATTGTGTGCCTACTATGTGCCCAAAACTACTTTGGGAACATAGATCAACAAGGCACTATAACCTTTAAGGATCTCTTAGCCTAGCGGGAAAGATAGTGATAAAAACAGAAAACTGCGATAAAATCATACTGGCAGCTATCCAGGCGCTGTGGGAGGACTCGGAGTTTCACCTTCTATCTGCTAGATGTGAGGGGGGACAGGGGGATTAATAGAAGGAATGACATCTCATCTGGAGCTTGAAGGCCAAGTAGAGATTCTCTAGGGAGACAAGGGCAGGTACATTCTAGTCAGAAGGAACCAAATGTGTAAAGGCACATTTTGTGTAAAGGTATTTTGGTGTGGATAGATACAAAGTGGGAGTAGGGCCAAGTAGGAGAGAAACTGAACAATTAGGCAAGAGCCAAATAATGCTAAAGTCTTATTTTTATTTTGCAGGCAATGGAAGGTGATTGATAGACAAAGCAGGCTAATTAATGTTTACTGAAGAAATATGGCTAATGCAAATATGAACAAAATTTGCCAGTCATATTGATAAAAGTTCCCATCAGTCTTTAAGAAGTGTATTTTGACAACTTGTCTAGAGAAGGCCTGATAGTGGGAAGAATGTATAGAAGAATGTTACTTGATAGAACCCCAACTTACCTCTCTGTCCACCTAAAATAGCATGAGCTACTCAGGTGCTGGATTGAGAGGTGTTCCTGGGGAGAGGTCAGGAAAATAGAAGAATTCGAAGAGTATAAAATAGAAAGTGATAGGCTGGTGAGAATAATAGATAAACTGGAAAAGGTAAGTGTCTCCAGGGAATGAAACAATGAAACAAAAAAGGCTTAGGGGTTTAGAGTCAGTGTCTGAGTTGCCAAGAGTGTAACTGAGTAGGGTGCTCAGAAAGAGATGAGGAACATTTTTTATTTGTAACTGAGACTTAATTTTGCATTTTGAAATCTGGAAGCACTCAGTATATTACCACAGGTATATTTCTATCATGTAAGTCATTTATTAAATGCTTGAATTCTTACTACTGGCAGAGTTCCATGCAAGGTTCAGTAGGGTACGAAAGTGAATAAGGCACGCTTCCTTCCCCCAAAAACAGTTTATAATCTGGTGAGCAAATATGCAATTATAAGACATCACCAGTGCCATAGAAAAGGCTCAAATATTGCCAGTGGCTTAGAGTTAGGAAAAAAAGCATTCGTTATTTACCTGCCTCAAACAATTTAGCAAGACCATTTAAGTCCATAATACTAAATTCGAAAGCTAGAAAGCTTGGGGTTAGGATCTCATACTTTGAGAGATAATCAGGTTGATTACCAGCTTGAATGCCTTTAGCATAGTTTATAATTTTCAAATGTCAAAGGATGAGAAAGGAATTATGGTTAGAGGTTGTAAGCAGAGGGAATTCACAGAACATTTGGAAATGTTTGACCTAAGGGCTTCGCATGCCTGGGAGGCAGCACGCACAGTTCTTGGTCTCCTTCCAAAGCTGGGAATGAGGGCTCTTTTGGGGAGTTAAGTCTAATCTTTTAAGCTAAGGATATCCTGTGACATCACCCAACCCTTTAAAGTACTGTGCAAGGTTCCCGTCAATTACTATCTCCCTAGCAGCCTTTTGAAATGTTAGGGAAATGAAAATTAGTTCCTTTTTTATAGCCATATTAAATACCGTTAGATTTCTGGAGTAAGGAAGTGAGAAGGAAGCAGTGAAAGACCATTTTTCTCTCCCAACTCCTGCTTCTCCACAAATACCCAGGAAACGTATTTAAGAAATTGGAAAAGACTATTTAGTTAAAACTTTTATAAGTCAGGGGCTTAGGTCCTGAATTAAATGTATGCTCTTGAAGTTTCCTCCTGCAGAATCCTGCTTTATGTCTCCCCACACTTGAAACTCTGCTTGCTAGACTCTTTAAATCCTTTTGTCTAGTTTTTCTGACTTTTCATTTTCTTAAGTTAGTCTAAGTCATTTGGAAATTTGAATTGTCTTCATTTTCCTAATAAGCATGCTTAATAAAACCAGATAATGAAAGTCATACATAGGATGTCTCATATCTTACCCAGATATCTAAGTTTTTGGTTATTGTTGAGAGAGAGTTAAATGGAGAAATATTTTCAGGAGTTCTAATATTAAATATCCCTTGTTACTCATTCTAAACCTTCCTTAGAGAAACTGATTGCATTATTCTATTTCCAGGCAATTTTTACTTCAGTGATAGTACTTATAACCAGAAATGGTTTCAATTAATTATGTGAGCAAATTTAATAATGCTAAAATAAGTATTTATTGAAAGAAAAATTAAATCTATTAAACTTCCTTAAAATGATTTGTCCATCATTAATAAACTCGTTTTGCTCATGATTTAATTAAACAACATTTTTTTCTGTCTTTTATTTCTACTGAACCATGAGAAGTAAAAAATGAAACAAAATGTAATTTAGTAGGAAGGATCAAGGCACCAATATGGCATTTTTTATCAGTCAAATATAAATTTTTGCAATCATTTTCTCTAAACCTAATATGTATGACATCTTATAAAATTTTAAATTTGAATTGTTAAATTATTATCATTAGGATCATACTGTTGTGTTTAAGTGTCAAAACTAAATTCCTCCCTAATATTCTTTAACTGTTAAGCTCCCCTTGAGTTATAAAAGTTACTACCTATTTTTTGAAATCGGAGATTCATCTTGATTAATTTTTGGAAATAGTATAGGTTCCCGTTCATCATGACTTTATAAAGGAAATTTAAAGATAATTGTCAATATCACAGAAACAAATTAATTTTTTTTATTTTTAATTTTTTTTATTTTGGTGTCATTAATGTACCATTACGTGAGCAACATTATGGTTACTAGACTCCCCCCATTATCAAGTTCCCCCCACATACCCCATTACAGTCACTGTCCATCAGCATAGTAAGATGCTGTAGAATCACTACTTGTCTTCTCTGTGTTGTACAGCCCTCCCCATGCCCGCTCCCCACATTATGTGTGCTAATCATAATGCCCCTTATCCCCCTTATCCCTCCCTTCCCACCCATCCTCCCCAGTCCCTTTCCCTTTGGTAACCGTTAGTCCATTCTTGGGTTCTGTGAGTCTGCTGCTGTTTTGTTCCTTCAGTTTTTCCTTTGTTCTTATACTCCACATATGAGTGAAATCATTTGGTACTTGTCTTTCTCTGCTTGGCTTATTTCACTGAGCATAATACCCTCTAGCTCCATCCATGTTGTTGCAAATGGTAGGATTTGTTTTCTTCGTACGGCTGAATAATATTCCATTGTGTATATGTACCACCTCTTCTTTATCCATTCATCTACTGACAAGTTAATTTTTAAATTCCTTGTTTCCTAGACTCACCCACTCTATTCAGTCAAAGAGGGGACAAGGAAAAGGGAAGAGGGGAAGATGACAGTGACCTTTTCACCTCTGGCATCTGAGCAGATGGTGGAAAAGGAAATGCAGGAAGAGAAAATTTAAGGGGGAATTTAATGAGTTCTGCTTTAGGGATGTTGAATTTGAAGTGCCTTTACCATATCTGTGTGGAAATCTCTGGCAGGCAAATACAAACATAGGCCCAGAGCTAAGGGCACACACTCAGAGCTGAAGATGTGCATTTGAGAATCACATACAAATAACTTGCTAGCAAGAGTTATGTGTATACTCTAAGTTAATTCTCTCAAAAGATAGTTTTGTTTCACAGATGGCATGTAAGCACAGGCTAAGTGGCTGCTTGTTTGGATGTAAAAGGAATTTCAGAGCAGTGAGTTCTGCACATCCTCTAGCACTCTGGTAACATGTAGGCCAGAGATTATTTGCCTGTTTCATCCAACATGGCCTCACATCTTCACCCAAGATCGAAGCCATATGTTGATTCATCCCTCCAAGGGTATATCTATACTCATGGACAGTCTCTCATTTAGTAACTATTTAATAAGCATAGATTACTTATTAGGTTTTATGAATATATAGTTGAAAGGAATAGTCTGCTCTATGCAGCGTAGAGACAGATGCATAAAAAATTTCATCGTAGTTTTTAGCAAGAGTTAAAATGAAACAATGGAGCACTAGGGAAAATAAGCACTCAGGACTTCCTGGGGGAATTACAAAATGTTTCACAAAGAAATTAATAACCTGGTGGAATTACAGAATGTTTCACAAAGAAATTAATAACCAAAGCCTATGCCTAAAGGAAGAGTTAGAGTTTTCTAGGCAGATGACCATGAGGAGAAGGTAAGGGCAGAGGGTCTAGTGTGTACATGGGTAAAGAAAACAGGGCAGTAGCTCACAACAAAGAAGGTCTAGCAGTCCTCACATGACCACATCCATCAAGAGCAGTTCAGGGAGACCGTGACAGACAGGGGGAGCCCTGGAATAGGGAGACATGTGGGTGGCTGACTCTAAGCACAGTGGTTCCACCAGCTCCTGTGTGCCCCCTACAAAGGTGGGGAGGGAGCCCGAGGACCAAGCTGGAATTAGGTATAGAAACTGCAGTGACAGGGCTATCCTGACCGTTAGCTGTAACTGTGGGTGTGGTGTTGGCTGCAGTGCAACATCCAGAAGGCCAGAGCAGCCTATTTCAGGAGTCACCTGTGCAGGGAGTAAACCGAAGCACTTCCTCCACAGCGGGAAGGCCGAGAGAGCAAGGACCCAAAGGAAACCCCTTAGATCTGAGCTCTCTGTGGTAACATGCCCCACAGAAGGGCATGTAGCCCATGTACATCCAGCATCCATCTTGGAGAAGAGCAGACAGAGGAAAGGAAATCTAAAATGCTGAACATTTATTCAAAGGAGGCCATGCTATCCCAAAGAGTCGATTTTAAACAGCAGAGAGTGATGTTAGAATGATCCTTTAGCCTAGCTCCTATCACCCAGGAGGAAGTCAGGTCCTGAGGAAGACCAGTCAGTGTGGGAGCATAAAGAAGCTCTGTATGTTTGAGTATATTGTGTGAATTGTGATGCCCAAAATGATTTCTGGTTATCATTGAGTTTATATTTGTTGAAAAACAAATTTTATTTATATTTGTTGAATAACAAAGTTATATTTGTTGAATAACAGCTGGTAATAAGATTAGAACTTTTTTTTACCCTAGTCAGTCACAATTCCATGCTTTTCCTATGGCTTCTGCTCTTAAGTAAAAGTCATGTCTGGTTCAAAAAAATAAGAATAAATTGTTTTTCTAAAATTCCACTTACCTCCTTTTTTAGCCAGTCATTCTCCCAAATCTCTCTATAGCTGCCCTTGTCAAGGAACCTTACAGCATTCTAAAACAAAGTGTCTATATTAGGGAAGAGTTGTCATATGGCAATTCACAGTTTTAGTAATAGTGTTATGCAATCAACTTATCTTTTAAATTACATTTTGAAATTACTTTGGAAACATACCTTAAAAACGTTTGATTCATTGTTCTTTCTTTTCTATCCTATTATGTTGTCTTTGCTGACTTACACTGCCTAATAGGGCCAATTCAGAGAACTGGACAATGGCTGTCCATTCAATTTGGCCTCTGTTATGACTAAATCTGTTGTAGCTGATCATCTCCACCAATTAAGATGGCTAAACTGTGATCAAACATATATTTAAGTTTATAGTTACAGACATAATCCAACATATAGCAAAAGCATAAATAGATTACATGCTACTTTTTAATTTGAAAGATTTCTGTATTTCAGTAATCACAATACACATATTTACAAACCTAACAGCAAATAGTTTCAGGGTGGCAGACAACTGGGAAGCAGGCATTCTCCTGGACAAAGGCATTTTAGACAAAGAAAACGGGAAAAGTCTGAGTTTATCAGTAGGTTCATAAAATGTAAATTTACTTTCAAGTCCTTGGATATTTATAGTGTCACCCAAAGGAACTTTACAGTGGATGATAGATTGTATTTATCTGGGAGATATCTTTTTCATGTTCACCATGTTATAAATTCAATATTCACTACCTGAAGGGAAAAGCCAAAAGAAGAGAAATTAGGTAAACTCTTCTAGGCCATAATCGTTTTAAAATATGTTAAGGATGAATTCATTTGAGTCTTTAGAGTTGGATGATTGGCAATAATTCTTTTTTCTTTAAGTCATGCAAATTAAACTAAGAGTGGACCTACATTTCCCAGGAACCAGGAACTTTTATATTCCAGATACAACTGACATTTTTAGTCTCCTCAAACACAGAATTTCATTTAAAAAAATTTCATTAAACAAAAAATAAGAAGTAGCTCATAACTGAAATTAGTTGGGTAATGACTTAATTCACTGAAAATGGAACAGTGGTTTTCAACTTTGGCCACACCTTAGAATCTCCCGGACTCTAAAAAATTCAGATGCCCAGGCAGTGCCCTAGGCTAATTACATGAGCATCTCTCTGTGTGGGGCCCAGCCACTGCCTGCCTTGGGTGACTCCATTGTGCAGTCAAGGTTGCACAAGAGTAGACTATAGGAAGTTAAACTACATGCTACAATAGCTAGATAAAGTGAGGAAAAGTCTTTCACATGCTTGGTGGCTTGGCATGTAGAGAAAGGAAAATGTAATGATAAGAGCAGTGATCTGAAGGAGATGAGTTGAATCTTTATTCTGCCATGTGCTCTGGGCAAGTCACAAAATTTTGCTTCTCACTGGCAAGTCCCTCATTTATAAGGTTGTGGAGAGACTTAGATGTAAAATGTTTGGAACGGTATCTGAAACAGTCCTCATATGTACTGAACATGTATACTTGAACCATATTTGATCACATACACATTTTTAATCACCTTAATTATGGTCAGATCATTTAACTGTGGATCTTACCATTCAGTCACAAAGTGGCTGCACTGCATGAGCCAACCAACCATTGGTCAGTTCTCCATAATACTCTGCATTTGTGTAATTCATTGAAAATCATGCAATAGAATAGTAACACTGAAAGAACAATTGAACCACTTCTAATAAAGTGAGGTAGTCAGCAGTGTTTCTTATTATTGTTAAGCAACAGACAATAGCAACTGAAACAGTGAAGAACTTCAGAAAACATCAAAGACCAGATATGTAACAAGTGGTGTAACAAGTCCTACTCCAAATCTGAGAATAATCAAAGCTTCAGCAATGTAAAGTGCACTCTCTTAGATTTGGAAACATAAGAAAGTACTTTTTAGACAAATTTTATTTAATTCTATAATTCATCCCAAAACTTTAATTTAATAATTTGTTGTAGCCATTATTATTATACCTAAAAATAACTGAATAACAGTTCCTGAGCTCTTGCTCCTTATGAGGCACTATGCTATTTAAGTCATCTCATTCAATCTTCACACTATTCATTAACAATAAATATTATTATTGTCTACTTTTTATAAATTAGGAAACTGAAGCCCAGAAGTCAAGTAATAAACTCAGTTTATACACCCAGTGACAGAATTGTGATTTAAACTGCCTAATTTCAGAACTCAAGTTCTTAACCATTATATAATATACTACAGGAAAAAAATGAGAAAAGTTTTATTTTTAAGAAAACTGAAATATACCTGTGTGGCCCATTCCTTCTTTTGGTCCAGTTGCAGCAAAGTTTCTTTGATAATTCTCTTTCTATCATCTTCCAGAGTGATTTTATAGTGTTCTTTAAAAAGAAAAGTAGAAGCCTTAACAAGGCTAATTCTAGGTAAAACTGTGATGTTAACAGATTTTCATCTCAAATGATCCTCTCCTTTCTTCACATTTTTCCCCTGAGTTTTCTGGGTACATTTTCACTGAAGTGTCTGGTACCTCCAATGAGGAGAATGGTTCCAATAACTTACTAACACTTTAATGTGAATTAGGTTAAGATGATAACTCTCTCAAGAATATTTGTATTTTCAAAGGATTCTCTCTCCAAAGGGAGAATTTAGCATGTGTGTGGCCTTCTACCCTTCCTATCACCCAACTTCTGATTCCACAACAGAAATGTAAAGAAAATTTGATTATCCACTCTAGTTGCATCCTGTATATCTGACTCTATAACACTAAATTTCCAATATCTTTGGCATGTGTTTCCTGGGACAGGAAAGAATGAGAAGAGGAGAGAGAGAGGTCAAGGAGCTATGAAAGCAGGAAGAACTTCTTCTGAGCAAGAAAGGGGGGACAGAGATGAAGAAGTAAACAGATTCTTTCCTTTCCAGATTTTCTTATATCATAAATGTCAGAATTGAGAGAGCACAGGATCTTAAAATGTTTGGCCTTGAAAGATGTCTACCTGATAATATTACCCATACCCACTTACGGAAAGCCGAATGTAGAGACATGACTGCTGCTTTAGAGAGTGGGGAGAAACAAGGTGAATGAATGAATCCAGTGTGTTCATTCTTCTATTCAGCAAATAACAATCGAGCCTTTTTGCTGTGTATGACACTTAAGGCAGTGAGATACTGCTAAGAGACAAAATTCCTGCCCTTATGATATGCACATTCTAGTGAAGAAGCCAGGCCATAAATAAGTAAACAAGCAAATAAATAATATTCCAGGTGGTGATGTGTGTGGTGAAGCAAAACCAAAAATCTGTATTTTACATAAGTTGATGAGAGAAAGCTTTTCAGAGGTGGTAACATTTGAGCAAAGACTGAATAAAGTGAGGTAGTCAGCAGAGGGTAACAAGTCCTACTCCAAATCTGAGAATAATCAAAGATAGCTGTGCTTTATATGATCACATCTCTGTTTTATGTCTTCATTAATCGTGTTTTAGTCATAACATCTAAAGGGTAATTACTTGGAAGTCAGAAAATGTTTTCCCATATAAATGACATTGACAATTATGGTTGCTAGATTTCTGGCCTGTTCCACAAGGACCCATTTAACTTATTCCGTAACTAAACAGCAGTATTGCACCAATAGTGCTGTGGGATCTAACTGCCACGAAGGACACTGTTTCTAAGAGAAAAATTTCCCCACAGACCAAGTCAATCAAAGCAGAACTCTCAGGGATCTTAGGCTGCAGGGAAAGAGATCTGTAGGTCTGGTCTTTTAATAATTTACAGCCAAACTAAGACTCTGGAAATGGAGAGGGAGGGAAAGGAGGCAGGAATTCTTCTGTCCTCCTCTGTACTTTATGCTGGCATAACTGCTTCCCCTGCAGATGAAAACTGAAAGCGAGTGTAAAAACCCTTCTCCATCTCTTTCTATTACAGTCCCTGGGCCACAACAGATACTGAATAACACTTTGAAGAAAGTTAAAGTGGACAAACTGCAAGCCTTTGGCAGACAGTGATTTGAGGCTTCAGCACCACGGTAGCTACAGCAAATGACTTTGGTGGGTAGGGGAAGGGGGAGTAAAAGGAGAAAAGGGGAGAGTGCTTCCAAGTTGTGGAAGGGCCAGAAACAGAGCCAGGAACAGTCAGTTTCTGCCTCTAATAGAGTTGGAACAAGAGCGTCTGTCTGAGGCAGGGTTTATAACAAGAGCTCATTAGGTTCTGGGGGGTAGTCTAACTTGACATCTGGAGATAACAAAATGGAAATCTTCATTATTCCAACCAACATATGCTAATCTGTAAAGCCTGTATTGTTCTTACTCTCAGTCTAAGTAATCACTTGAATATTTTAATGATTCCCATCACATTTTTGATGGAGTTTCTTTTTCAATTCATAGCCCAGTCCACTGGACTAATACTGGGTATTTATTTGAAACTTCTACCGAGCAAAATACAGCAATGAAGCCAGAAGTTCCAGTGAATCAGAAATTAAGCTATTATGGATTTTACTTTCTAGCATCTGAAAGAAACCATAAAACTTGGAGCTTGATAACGTTAAACATTAATTCTTTGCTTTGTAAACCATACCAAATATTGCACCGACTAAAGTTCTAGCTCTTTCTGTTGCCGCATTAATTTTGAGGAAAAAGCAAGAGTAACATCCAACTCTGTTTGAAATTCCACATAAAAATCTATGACTGTTTTTCCTCTTCAAAGCTGAGTAACCAGCACAAGGGAGGGTGGGAAAACTTCCTTGTTATCTTTTGTGATTCAGATACTGCTTCAGATAACAATTAACCACTCATTTATGAATATGGCCAAAAATCTGGGAGTTTATAAATGTCTCCTCATAAAAGTCTGAGCCATTGCAAGGGGGAGATTACAACTGTGCCTTCAGACCCCTGGTTCTCAGATGTCAAGTCTCCTGCGGTCACCCTTCAGAAGCCGGCTGCAAAACCATGCTGGCTGCAGCTGGCTTGGCACTATTTTGCCGTCTTTGTGATGTCTGGCTCTACTTGGGTTTGCTCCTCACAGCTTTTTGGGAGTTTGCTGTCACACAGCTTCCTCGTCCTGACGCTCCTCTCCCGTGGTGGGGCCTCCTTCCAGATCCTTCTGGAGAAGATTAAGCAGGGGCAGGTGGTGATACCGGCCAGTCTCTTCAGGCACAGCGTCGTGTTAGAGAGCCATCCATTCCTCACTAAATCTCAGAGCTGGGAGGACTATTTGAAGCATATAGGTTTGGGGTCGACACACCTAAGTTCGAATCTCATTTCCATTACTCACTAAATTTTTAAGGTTGGTTAAGGTGATTAACTTCTCTGGGCCTCTGTTTCCTCATCTTTAAACTGGGCACAATGATGTCTATTGCAAAGGAACCCGTAAGGGTTAGATGAGATAAAGGTGTAGAAAAGCAGGTGCTGGAACAGTGAGTTCTCTTGGAGGTCCCAGAAGAACTCTCACTTTACAGATGAGGAAATTGATGCTCAAAAAAACTCCACTTTTTGTAAATTGACTTGAACCCAAGTCTTCTAACTTGCTATTGGTGTACATGGACTTTTTAGGATCCTTGTCCTGTGCTCCTAGTAAAGAACAAAAGTAAAAATGCCCTGTGATTCTAATAGCTAATGACTTGTAATAACCCCACACTTTCTATATTCCTAGACCTAATGAAAGGTTCCCTTTCATTTTGGTGACAAAAAAAAGCCTTGTACTGCATATGTCAGTGACTGTGTTTCCTAGAACCAGCATCCCAAGATCTCCTTGCTGAAGTCTCAGGCTCTAGGTGTTCCTCCCATGCTCCCAGCGCAGGGCCGGAACGCTGCCCGTGGAATGGTGCGGGCTGGGCTGTCTGAGGACCAAGAGAGCACGGGCAAATGGCTGTGCCTATCTTTGATTTGGCAGGTGATCACAGCGGCTCTTTTCAGAATCTGGGCTGCAGAATACTGTAAGAATTGGTCTGGGGAAGCAAGAAGAGAATGGGGACAGGACAGAGAGCAAAGCAGGGGCTCCATGAGGGAGACAGTCACAGACTAGGAGAGGGACATGTAGGGAGGAGCCATCCCGAGGGCCACCACTGATCCCACGGCCTTCTCTTGCTGTCTTCTGTTCTTCCATTCCTCACTACAGGTGTTACATCCAGCAAACATGACCTTGGGATATTAAGCAACCTTATTAATTTTTTTATTAAGGTATCATTGATATGATATGAAGGTTTCACATGAAAAACAATGCGGTTACTACATTCATCCACATTATTGAGTACCCCCCTGCCCCACTGCGGTCACTGTCCCTCAGTGTCGTAAGATGCCACAGAGTCATTACTTATCTTCTCTGTGCTACACTATCTTCCCCACTACACTATCTTCCCCATAACCCCCCCCACACCATGTGTACCAATCATAATACCCCTCAATCCCCTTCTCCCTCCCTATCTGCCCTCCCCTTTGGGAACTGCTAGTCCCTTCTTGGAGTCTCTTGAGTCTGCTGCTGTTTTGTTCATTCAGTTTTGCTTCGTTGTTATACTCCACAAAAAAAAAAAATGAGGGAAATCATTTGGTATTTGTCTTTCTCTGTTTTACTTATTTCACTGAGCATAATACCCTCTAGCTCCATCCATGTTGTTGTAAATGGTCGGATTTGTTTCTTTCTTATGGCTGAATGGTATTCCATTGTGTATATGTGCCACATCTTCTTTATCCATTCATCTACTGAGAGACACTTAGGTAAGCAACCTTATTTTTATCTCTTGCCTTTAAAATTCATATTGTGAGTCTAGCAACTCTCAGTAAGATGCATGGCAAATCCTATGAATTTCCTGACTCCTTTGTGATAATAAGAGGTCTTCCAAACAGTAATTAATATATCCAATCTTTGTAATAATCAAAACTGTAAACTTCATTCAAAACTAAGGCTGTTCCCACCCTGCTTGGACCTACTACTATTTCCTCTGACTTGAGCTTCTCTGCCCCCTCCTTCAGGACTGAAGGGGAACAGGAGAAGGAACAAGAAAGCTCTCACTGACCGATAGTATCTCAGGCTAATGTCCCACTTCCTGATCCTTTAAGGTTGGCATTCAAGGTTGAATCCTCCTCTCATGGGGGTGTTCTTATAGGGTTTTCAGAGTACTACTTTTCCCCCATGCAAGTCTTACTTCACCTGCATTCCCCCGATGCAGGGAACGTATTGTCCTTGGAGGAACAACAACTTTTCCTTTGGCCTCTAGCTCTGAATCTCCTCCTCTGCCAACCCCCACAAATGCAGACCCCTATCTCTCTGCTAGGGCACCATCATCCCTCTCTCCAGTCAGAGCTCAGGCAAGATTTAGCAGGACTGCCTACCAGCTCTCTCACGGCAGATCTGGACAGGACTGTAAGTAAAGCAGTCAACTGACGCAAACCCCATGGTCACGGGTGTGGGAGGAGAATTCCAGACACATCAGGAGGGAGGGAGGAGGTGGGATAGGAGGGAGAACGGGAATAAGGCTTTAGGTAAACCCGTTTAGGTGTCCTGCGCGTTTGTTATCCATCAGTGGCCCCAGGTATCCAGAGTCGCTGCTGCTACCTGCATGGCTGGAAGCACCTAAAACTAAGGGCAAATGCAAGGAGCCCATAGCCACTGTTTTCCCATAACACCTAAAATCGGTTCTACAAAGAAGTTCGACCAGCAAGTAATTTAGTATGTAAGTGTTATTACCACCATCCCCAAATTGGATACAACAGCATGAAAATTTTTAGCTCAAATCACCCAAATTTCTGATCAAGATAATGGGTTAAGTTGATATGAGACGATCACTCTTCCTACTTTAAAAATATAAAATAAATGCTGGAAAAATATTTAAAATTTTTTAACATACTATAATGATAACTCTATTAAAAGAATGGTACTGGTGCACAATTACATAGATTAGTGGAACAGAATAGAAAATGTAGAAAGAGACCCAAATACAAAGTATGATAAAGTCAACATTTCAAACCAGTGGGGTAAAAATGGATTATTTGATAGATGATGCTGAAACAACTGGAAAACCATTTGGCAAAAATAAAGTTGTTTCCTACCTCGCAAAAAAAATTGAATATTTAAATATAAACATAAAGCCATAAAAATACTAGAAGAAAATACTGAAGCATTTATTCATAATGTCAGAAATGATAAAACAAGGACTACAAAATTGGGTATATAAAACCACAAAAATTCCTCATAAATATACCCTGTAAACAAGACTAATAACAAGAAAAATGTATACTTTATATCACAGTTAAAGAGCTTGTTTCCATAAAATATAAAGAGCTCAACCACATAATAGAAAAATGGATGAAGGATGTGCATAGGTGGTTCTTTCACAGAAAAGGATATTCATGTGGTTCTTGAACTTATGAAAAGATATTCACTATCTTTTATAATAAGAGAAATGAAAATTAGAGCTACAATGAGATACTGTTTTCTACCTTTAAGACGGGCAAAGAACAGAAAGTTGAGTAACATTCCCTGTTGTTGAAAGTGTGAGTACCAGGCATCCTCGTGCACACTGGGAGGACTAAACTGGGTACGACCTCTATGGAGGGCCATGCCTATCAAAATGAATAAAAATAAACAGTTGTTTGGACCAGCCATTTCCTCTGTAGATAGACACATAAGTTACTTAAGTACACAGATACTCATTCCAGTAAAATGAGATATGGGTAAGGATAGTCATTACAGCATTATTTGTCATAGTAAAGGATAGGAAACAAAGGCTTAAGAGTAGGGGACTGGTTAAAAACATTAGAGAGCAACAAAAAGTAGACATTGGAAGAATGAAGAAGGGCCAGTATGCACTGATCTGTAAGGATATCCATATTGTTAATGACAAAGCAAGTGAAAATGGTATGTGTCGCATGCTTTGTATACATTGCCACATGCATGGCATACTTCTGACAGAGGCTACACATGAGACTGGTAATAGTATTCTATCCAGAGAGGACCTGAGTGGCTGCAGATAGACAGGGGTAGAAGGGCATCACTTTATTCTCTCCTTTTCCTTTGGGGAGAAGAACCTTTTGAAAAACTGGAACCCCAAGCCCAGACTGATTTGGGGGCAAGTTTGCAAATTTACCATTGTGGTGCAGAGGCCCTAAGCTGAGAAACTGACACAATAATTGGTCCAGAGCAGGGTGTCCAGACAGGCCCCCAGCAGGGGATCATGGAAACAAGGCCGCTTGATGCCCTACAACCCAGGGCACCGTCACCAGCTGGGCTCAGAGCTGCCATCCACCCACAGGGCTCTTGTGGGCCAGATTTCTCCCATTTATTCCATCCTGTGACTGTCTTGTCTCTGGGGTCTCTGATGTTCTTTTTAAGCCACTGGGCTCACCTCAGCAACAGAGAGGTGGCCTTATGGCTCCTGCACTGAGTCCTGGTAAGCTTCATCCCACCTGAAGCCATCCTGCACTACCCTTCCTACTTCCCAGCTCACATTTGTTCTCCAGTTTTCTGCCTACAGCATGGCGTTTGCCTGGGCATTTCTCTGCCAGACTGTGGTTGTGCAGCCTGGCTGAGCTGCTCTGGCTTGCCTCAGGCGAATTCCTTTCCTGATAGGAATCTGCCCCACAAGGGGTGTGGGGGTGTGCAGACACCACCTGCTGAGGGGAGCTTCTTCCTCAGCTAGCACTTCTCCCCCTCCCTCCATCCCACTCCAAGCACAGTTCATAGCTGTTTGCACTGACAGCAGAGAGGAATGAATGATTCAGAGAGTACCCAGGTTTTTCTTCCACCAAATGTCTGCCCCCTCAAGTTTTTTACTGAATTTGAACCAGCTTTGTTACAACTGACCTGACATTTTCTCTGCATTCTCTTTAACTCTACTGATGTCATTTTGTAAGGAGATAATGAGTTTAGCATGCTGTTCACTCCCTACATTCTTGTACTCTTCCCAATATTCCTTCTCGCTGAGTTTCTCAAGAAATAATTTCTCAGCATTAGTTATTTGCGTGCGCATTTCTGTTGAAAGAAAATCAAGACACCATGTCATTTCTGTTGTCCTTGTAACCACAACCTTGTAATCTGATTTTATGAAGTTAAGGTCTGATATTAAGATGCTGTTAACTCATAAATATGATTTTATATCTATAATTTGAGGAAACAAACTATTCAAACTTTTGTTTATCTCACCCTCATGATGCAAAAGCTAAGTCAAATTAAACTTCCACTTATAAAGCCGATGTGTGGTATTGGGCTATGATTGAGAGCAATGACAGACAATTAACCTACAATGCCTAGGAGCCCACAGGATAAAATTATTCCTGTGATAGCCTATTTTGTACAATATATCACATACTTTTTGTAAGTAAATTGTCATTTTTCTGGTCATCATGCCTCTGGGCAAAGTGATTTCAACTTACATCCTTCCATGGTCCTTTGGGAACCATTTTTGTAAATATGTGTCTGACTCATTCATCTAAAGTTCTCTTGTTTGGACTTCCCTTGTGTATAATGATGGCACATGAGAGTCATAAGAACATGGCCCCACTTGCCATGACTTCAGAGTGAAAGGTAAGTTCCCAGTTAAATATGGACAAATATCAAGCTCTCTCAACCATTTAAACTTTCAGTTTGCCCTGGTGTAATTGTTTAACATGATATTCTACTCAGTTGTTAGGCTGACTTCCATGCTATTGATGTTTTGGAAAAGAAGGCATTACAGAGAGCCAGGTACAATGAACCTAACAGCCGTTTGGCTCATGACCACACACTGTCTTGTTTGAGAGCTCCCTGAAGGCAAGACCACAGCATACTTACCTCTGCAAATCTAGCACTTAACCCAGAGTCTGGCGATTAATTGGTGCTCAATAAATGCTTATGAAATGACTGAAGTATTCCTGTCAGGCCAGAGGAATGTTCTTCAGTACAGAGGTCCAGAAGGACGCCAGACATGTTTTTTTCCAAAGGTAATATATTTTATATGTTTTATAAGAAATGTTATATTTTAAATTCCTTAATAAATGACACTTGTTATTGACATTAAACAGTCAATACCCCTATAACCCATATGGTCAGGTATCATTTTCTGTGAGCAGAATAATGCTGCTGTGTCAGCCCTGTGCCATATTCTGCCTTTGTAGGAAGGTTTGGTTGATGTCACTGAAGATTTTGAAAAACAGGTGGACATAGTGACTGTTTGTTCTACTTTCCCAGAATTCCTCTCCCTTCCCTTCGCCTAGCCCTTGTCAAATAAGTGGGCTAATTACAGGGACCTCTCCTGGCCACAAGGATTGGTCCAGGGATCAGCATGTACTCCAAGCTAGGCACATGTTCAGAGTCCTTCTCTCGAAATATTTTCACTGAAACTAGTAGAAAACACATCTCTTTTGTCTCCATTTTGAGGCTCAAAGGATGTAGGACCAGAGATATCCATGGTCAGAGTTCCAGCCTCATGGAAACAACAGCTTTAGAAAAAAAAGCCAACTTACAAGGGGAAGATAAAGCAGAGTGGTAAGTGGGGGGATGAAGGGAGGGGTTATGGGGAAAAGGGGGTAGAAGAGGAATGGGGAGAGGCAGATTTAAAAAAAGCTGAGCTCTGACAGTGTGTAGGGCTCTGCGTCCAGGTCAATAGCACCCTGCCTTTTCTGCTTGTTTATGAAAAAACTAACATCCTCTTGATGCTTAGCTAGTTTGGGTTAGATTTTTATCCTTGCAACTAAAGAGTCCTCACTAAAAGTTGGAAGAGAGGGGTTATATCAGTACTTCGCAAGCCTTACTGTGAAGAGAAGCCCCTAGGTTCTTGTCAAAATGCAGATTCTGGTTCAGCAGGTCTGGAATGAAGTGAGAGTCGGCATTGTAACGAGCTGCCAAATGAAGCTGCTGCTGCTTCATAAACCAAACTGAGTTGCAAGTGACTCCTTGGTACATAGCAGAACTGCCTGAGAAAGCCTTTTCAGACACCTCTGCTCTCTCACTTTCCTTCTCTTCCTCCGTGTCTATGAGCTTCTTTCTTCCTTGGACCACCACTTGTGCCCAGCCCTCGTCTGCTGTACTGTCACCCAGCTCGGCCCTACTCTGGTGTGACACACATACCCCAGTGCTCAGCCCAGACCATAAGCAGGCACACCGCACTACCTGGGCACATTCCCTTGGAAGGCAGTTTATTGAGCACATCTTGTGTCCTTTGTGGTCTACTCTCATCACAAGGAACTTACTAAAGTGTTCCTTCCACACATAAGCAAAACTCTCTGGGAGAGGAGCCACAAAATACATTACCTACCACCCCATAATTTCACTGTTGCTCATAAAAAGACTCGGAGGAAGTTTATGGAACAGTTTTGGAGACCCCTAAACAAGCAGTTTGCTGATTGGTGTTTGTCCTTTGTAACAGGTTCATTCAAAACAACAAGTACCTACTAACAGGATGCCTGTTCTGTGCAGAGTGCTTAGGTAAGTAGGCTCTCTGAAATACCTGGAGAAATTCGGGAAAAATCTAGTCCCTGTTTTGCCTCCCAGCTTCTAGTACTGCTTCCTGAGAGCACTCAAGTCTCTTTTCCATGTTTTCTAGCTTCCTAACAGAGATGGTATTTATAGAGATTCCAGAAATGTGGTTTTAGAAATCTCAGCAGCACTTTTAGGATAAAGGAATAGGAATTTAAAAAACAATGCATGTGCAAAACTGTGTGAGACTTAACCCTACAACCGGTTTTCCTAAGCTCATGGCGAGAGCACTGTGTGTGCTGGCTGTTTCACCTTCTGAACTGAGCATCGTGTCTATCCCTGCCCCCCAAACTCTCCCATTCCAATTCTAGTCCTGCTCTCCCCATCCAAATGGTGATAGGAAGGTGGGTGTTTAGCTCCTTTAGGGATATTGGGAGAAAAGCTTCGTTGTATTCACCTTATCATTCCCCAGTCTGAACTGAGGTTGAAGCCACTGGAGCTGCCAAACAAGAAAATGTCCCAAAAGAAAGAACAAATCCCCACTGCAAGGAGTTCGGGGTGGTATATAACAGGACCTCGTCGGGGGTTGAGGCACATGGCTTTCTCTGTTTTCAATCAACGCCCCTCCTCCACCTCCTCCGTTGGCTCCCACAGCTCCGCCCACTTTGTTTCCCTCTCCTGACCAGTTACCTGCATGGGTTTGTGGCTGAAGTGATCATGATGTCATTTGAAATATGTTCACAGCATTTTGAATGTGTTATGGAACAAAAGCATGAATATATTCAAGAAATAACTTAATACAGCTTTATGATAATTTCCTAAGTTCCTAAATCACCTTTTAAGTTTCGTTCCTGGTCTCTTTCAAACTGCCATTTTTCCTTCATTGCTTTTTCCACGTCTTCTCTTGTTACAACTGGTAATCCCTCTGACTTCTCTTCGCTCAGTTCCTTTAGCAGGTTCTGTAAGTGCCAAGTCTGCTCATGCTTTAAGCGTTTATTCTGTCATGAAAATCAACAGGAGTTAACTACATCTGTTGAAGTATTTACATTGATTTTCTTCAAAACAGAGCCACACACTGAGGTTTGCAAAGTGAGGAAGAAACATTTAATAGAATAAATTGTATAATATTATCTCTAAGAGTTTATGGGACATGGAAGACACAGAATAAAATTGAACCCATTAACACAGTAGCCACTGGATAGAAAGTTACACTTCAAAAATTGTTATTAATATACTAAGCTATCACCCTATCATAGGATTAGTGAACATTAAGGTAAGACCTTGGAGGTCAATTTCTTCAGTCTCCCACTACCAACACTATTCTGTTGTAGCATCCATCATTCACTTAGTCAATATTTATGGACTTTTACCGTGTGCCACGTAGTCCTCTAGATGCTATGAATATTTCAGTGAAAAAAATTGACAAAAAGTACTCCACTTTTGGAATTTACATTATTCTTTGCTTTCTCACAAATGACCCTAATTGTCTTCTCTTAAGGTGATGTTTACTCACCATTCCAATACTTCACACCCAAAATATAGACTGGGTTCCTCTTGTGGATTTCCTATGTATGTTTCTAAGATTCTTATTTAGTCACCTTAGAGTTTATTCTTGCCCTTGCTATTTTATTACATATGTGCAGAAATAGTTTAGTGTGTGTGAATTTAATACATTTCCTTGTAATTTTTTTAGGCTCCCTTTAAGTTACAATATTCATTTCCCTGGTGTTTCTCCTTCAATTTCTTAAGCCTAATAAAATGTATTTGCTTAAAATATTTTAAAAATTACTTTTTTTCCTCTAATTTAATTTTCTCAACTTTTTCAACATTATATTTTATTTCTAATATTTTTGTCTTTAATCCTCTTAATGTGCTTGCATACTCTATGCTAAAAGTAATTTCTTTCCCAAAGTTCATCATCTAGGCCCATGCTTCTCAAGCTTTAATGTATACACCAAGCATGTGGGGTTCTTGTTGGACTGCGGATTCTAATTTAGTAAGTTTGGCATGAGGCTCACCGTTCTGCTTTCTCAGCGAGCTCCAGGTGATGCCAAGTCAGCTGGCCCACAGGCCAAGCTGTGAGCAGCAAGGGCCTTTCATCTCATCTAAATATTTGTGATTTCTTGATAGTGCTACAGCCTACTAAAGCTCAGTTCTTTGCCTTTTACTTAATCCAACAAACGTTAAACTGGAGAGCTGAAAATTTTGATTTCTTAAAATTGTTTAGCCAATGCAGCACTAGTTTAATAAACTGACAGGATTTTAATGTATCTGCAATGTGCTTTAAGTTATTCCATAGGCTGTATGAAGTGATTGTCATTTCAGTGCATTAGAATTTAATTTAAAACTTTGATTCATAATTGAACAAAAGAAATGGATAATTAACTTTATGATGCTCAGTATTGATAAAGAAAAAAAAAATCCCAAATACCCAATAAAACTGCCGAAACAAAACAAAAAAACACAAAACACCAGAACCAGATAGGATTTGAGTGATTTAAAAAAATGGAAATAAAGCTTAAAAAGGTATAATATTCAAAATTTAG